AAACGAGGACATGCTGATATTCATTTACCGTCATCAACGCGCACAAGAAAAGGATGGTTTGATAGATCAATAGATGATAATCAAATAAATAATTCAAATCGTGTAACAAATGTGAATGGTGAAAATTGGGAATTGAGAATGGTTATTACATCATCTTATTTAGATTTCGTAAGTCAATCTGATCTGGTAAGATATCTACTCTTATTATTTATAACTCTTATTACTTATAAGTTGCTATTTAATATTTAACTATAACTGTAAATATTATTGTTGATATATATATGTAGGGCGTTATAGCGGTAAAAACATTAAATATTTCTAAATTACAACCTGGATATGTTGGAAAGAATATTACTGAAAATATTCTATGTGAGTTGTTCAAATTTACTGTTTGAATTTTTCTAACCAGTTTATTGATTGCTGTTCTGCATATTATTTTAAACTATTAGTAACGTTGTTTGAAAATGGTAATGTTGCAACTTTTAATTTGGATAAAGCAGAACAAGAAATGAAATTATGGTTTATTATTAAAAGGCGATGGCAAATGTATTTGGGTAGGTTTCATATTAATTGTTATAATTAAATTCATGAAACTTTATCAACTATATTCATAAACTATATTGTTTTATAGGAATGATATGCGTAGTGTTGGCTTTTGTTTGGAACGAAATGCACTAACTTATCATAGTAAGTTGCTTAAAAATTTTTGAAAAAAATTTTATAAAATTTTTATAAAATTTTTATACTATAAAGATTATGACCTAAATTGTGCTTTTAAGGAAATTAATTTATTAGTTTGAAGGATTCTACATCATATCGTAATATTTTTGATATAATTCTACTCATTTTAAAGAGACGTGACACGCTCATTTTAAAGAGACACGACACAATAATGAGTTTTTTTCCCTACAGGAAGAACCAATACGAAAGCATAACAACATTTATATGTTTGTGATTCGTATTATTAGGGAAACACCCGATTTTTGGGAACATTTACAACTTGATTATATGGAGTTAGTTTAAATAATAGGTCAGAATCTTTAAGTTCTGAAAATATATTAGCATTTTCTGAAAGTTAATAACTTTCGTTATATTACGGGTATATAAAATTTCATTTGCCTAGAAAGTTTTTCTCCCAATGGTACATGAGTTCATTCATATTTTGTTTTAGTTGATCAGACCTTATTCAAAATCATACCTAACTTAGCTTAACCAAAGTTTTATACAAAAATTTGCAAATAAATAAAATTGGTTTTCATAACTCAGTTAATTTTTTTGTAATATTATAGCTGTTTTATAAATTCTGAAATATCTAACAAAAAATTTATTAGCCAAATATTTGCTAATTCAATAAGTTTGTAATTTTTAAAAAATCACTATTGAATCAAAACTTATTGAATTAGCAAATATTTAATCAATCAATTTTTTACCAAATGTTTTTTTTTTTTTTTGGTATTAAGGTAACCCCTTTGATTAGTACTTTTATTTATGTTTAACAGATTACTTTTACAGTATCAGTTTTGCATCAACTGTATATATATTTCTATATATATAACCTTAAACTAATATTTATTATGACCTTAGAACAATTTTATTCTTAGAGTAAACCTGCAGAGTTTTCTGTACCCACAATTCGGTTAACCTAGTTTTTGATCTTTTGTTCTTGTAGAGTTCGCCCAAACCCTGGTACTTTCTCATCAAGACTTCCCGATATTTAGGATCATATCCATCTATATCCTCTAGCTCATCTTCTTCAGACTTCTAATTCAAATAGCCTGAAGAGAACACCTCAGTCTCATGGTCTCAATTACTCAACAAATCAAACTTTTTCTCCAAAGTCAGTTGTCTCACTCCAGTAACTTGGTTGGTGAAGTAACTTGCTAGTACTCTTGTCTCATTCGGTTAATTGGCTTTAGATGAAGCTGTTCTAGTAGTTACTATCAGAAGTTTGTATTACTTCTCTATTC